GGCCTTTTTTAATCTATGCAAGATCTTTTCAAATCCCACAGAACATTTTATGCCATTATTTTTGTTATTTGATTTCTCTCTTTCACTCTGCTTTTCTCTTCATATATACATTTTATATTTATATTTCATATAAATTTGTATACATGGCTATAAAAAATGCATATATTCGATGCATTTATTATGTATATTTCGAGGTATAATTTATGTATTTTTTTATGAAATCTAATATACTTTGTGTATATTTGATATAAAATATTTTTCGGACTTGTCCATGTCTATGCAAACATAATAAAATATAATGTATATTTCAAAATAATATATATATATATATATATATATATATATATATATTTAATAATCAGTATATTATTATTATTTTTATACCTAACATAAATATGTGTTAACTAAGCTGAAGAGAACGTACATACCATTTTTATACCAAGCATAATTAGATAAATAGAATATACCAATATTTGAAGACAAAGTACATAAATTATTTATAACTAAACACAATAAATAAATTGAATATACTATGTATTTTGAAGATAAAATACGTAAAAAATTTATACCTAAATACAATTAAATAAACAAAATATGTCATATATTTAATTGTGTCTAGGCATAAAAATGGTATGTACTTCGTCTTCAAAATACATGGTATATTTTTGTTTATTTAATTTGTTTAGGTATAAAAAGGATATGTACTTTATACTTGATTAAAATTTACTTGATTAGGAAAAATACTTAGGTGTCGAGTTTGGCTGTGAAATGGAAGATATGGGAGGGTATATATATATATTGTACTGTTATAAAATAAAGATTGTAAAGTAAAGACAAGTGTAGAGAGAAACTGTTATATTATTCGAATTCAAACTGATGTACATAATGAACTGAAATTTCTTCTATTTATAGAAAAAAGAAAGCTGCTGTGTAAGCTGCTATTATACCAGATATGGATAATCTTCTACTGAGAGTAATGTTTATCCATAACGGAGTACTGAAAGGATAAGCTTATTATACCCGATATGGATAATCTTCTACCGGGGATAAAGTTTATCCATAACTGGGTACTGAAAGGTTAAGCTTATTATACCCGGTATGGATAATCTTCTACCGGGAGTAATGTTTATCCATAACTAGGTGTAGACACCTGATTTTTGACCCTCCCCGAGAATTTTTACATTTTTAGCTTAAATATGTAATTTAGGTCTAATATAGCTATTTTGACTATTTTTGCTTTATTTCGTTGCAAAAAAAAAAATTACAAAAAATATATATATAAATTTTTAGTTTATGTATTTCTCATAAACTTGAAAAATACAAAAATAGTACCTTATTTTGTACTTTACAAAATTTCGAAAATTACCAAAAAAAAAATATAGTTCTATTAATGTTTTGTAGTCATTTTAAATTTTGAAAAATACAAAAATATTACTTTATATTTTATCTTTATATAAAAACGAAAATTACAAAAAAAATAGTTTTATTAATATTTCGTACATATTTTAATCTTGAAAAATATTAAAAAAGATATAGTTTTGTTTAAATATTAGTCTTATTTTGGTAGCTATTTTTCTTACATAGGATTAGTCGAACAACGTCGTGTTCTTAATCGGGTCCGGACAAAAGAATAATATTTGGGTTCAAACTACCCGTTTTTACCTAATTTCGGACCTAGCCCATAATAATCCGAGTCCACCACACATGAGGGGATACGCGTGGGGAACACGAACGGAATCCCATACACGGGGAACCCTACCACGCGTGGGGGACACAAGTCTCGAACCCCACCACGCGTGGGGCTCATTTTTCTGGGCAAAGCTACACAAATACACGGTTGGAAAATTTTGGAGGGGGGGACTTTGAATTTTTTTGAAGGGAAAGAGTCACTGTTCATCTTTCTTCTTCAAAAAAGAAGAAGAAAACCAAAACAGAAAACCCTACTGTAAAAAAACCTACCAGCCCAACTCCATCACCATCTTGTCCAAACGCCACCACCCAAACACCACGT